TTTCGGCCCGTAATCAACACACAATTTTTATTTGTAAAATACAGAGTGGGTAGAAATGTAATTTTCGCGCACCTCGGGTTAGTATAAAGATAAAACCTCCTTTTAGGGTTTCTTATTTTCCATTGTTGCACATCGAACAATTTCTGCCGCCGCTGCAACTCTCTGTTCTTTCGTTTCTCAGGTTCGTTCACACACCGCCATGCTTCTCCGATATGTATACATAATAATTATTTTCAGATCATACATGACGAATCATTCTACTTGGATGCAATGGAAAACGATAAAGAACTTAAGAAGATAAGAGAGCTTTGTTTGTATTGCTTGAATGTCTTGGATTTGTTGGATGATTACAAATGAAGTCCTTACTCATATTTATACTAGGCCACTCCTTAGTGGACGGTGGAGATATATTTGATCTAATGGCTAGGAGTGGTTCACTAGAACACTCCAAAGAATTCCTACAAAATATCTACAAAGGAAGGGTTTTAGAAAGCTTTCTAGAATCCTACAAGGATCTCTACCAATTGTTGGTTGTAATACCTACACGCAAGTGCACGTATCGTACAAGTAATATAGTAGACTAAAAGTCCGAGTATCGATCCCACAGAGAATATTTAATAATTTTATTTTAAACGCTAAATTCTACCAATTATGATCAAGCCCACCCTACACAGTCGAAAATTTAGCAATTATTCTAAATTAAATCAAAAGTAATTAAGCAAGCAAAAGCACGAAAGCAATTAAAAACGAAGATTTATCAGAGAAAACAAGCCTAGAATTTTATTCTTCCCCTTATATGATTATTAATTCTCCAATTCCTTCAATTATGCAAATCATTAAATCGGATAACTAACCTGAGATGCTAAATTAATCATAATCCACTTCCGCGTGTATTACGATTCTAATACTCTAGATTCAATTATTATATTCCTACGCAATTAAATCTAAAACACATCATGAAGCATAAATCTCAATAATGGCTACCTAAGAGATTAACTATATTCCTATGTTAATATCACAAAGGCTCTTCTACAACAGTTCTAATTATTAACCCGATCTTCCGATTCATGCGATTAACAATAACATAAAAGTACATAAAGTGATCAAGTTCATGCACTTAATAAAATAAGAAGAATAAATAATCTGGAATAAAAACTTGCATAAAATCATGGAAAAGGGTTCATAAAATCCCACATAGGGTTCGAAATAAAATCCTTGAATTAAAAGAGTTAGCTACTCATGATTAAAGTAAAAACGAAATTAAAATAAATCATGGAAGATAAATCTATGCTTGGAGTATTCGAACCCTTCGTCTTCGTTATTGCTTCTTTTCTCTTGAAATTGCGTAAAAAGATGGATCCCCAATTGTGTGCTCGAATTGGTCTTTTATATGGTGGAAACGTTGGAGAAAAATACAGTTTCCTTGTGCAATTAGAATTCATTTACCGCGCATCTACGTCTTCTCATACGGCCGTTGTTGAGTGTAGATTTTACACTCAATACGTTTACTTTACGTGGATCTTTTGTTTAGATTTAATTATATTTGTGTTTTAATTGATTAATTTTGTGTTTTATAGGTGAAAAACGAGAATTAGGTGTCCATGAAGGAAAAAGATCTAAAAGAAAGGAAAAAGTTGCAAATAAGGAAATAAATCAAATTGGAAGAAGGAATCTCGCCACAGTTTTGGCAGTGTTCACCATTTCAAGCATATCTCTCTCATACAAACTCTGAATCAAGTGATTTTGGCGGCATTGGAAAGCTAATTTCAAGGTCTACAATTCTTATTTACACAACATTCCAAAATTCGGACTCCAACATGGCGAAAATTGAAGAAAAAATCATGATGGGGAAAGTGGCCGAAATTGGTTCCTATTAGGTTTCCACCACTTCCTTATCAAGAAAAGCCTATAAAAGCAACATGTCTCTACACCATATGCATGGAATTTGACACCACAAAAGGCGAAGAACGAATATCGAAGACTCAAGCATAGTTTTTCTTATTTCTTTTATTAATTCTATTTTGTTTATCATAAGAACTACGAGCAGCTAAATCTTTTATTTCTATGATTTTATTTTGAACCCTATGTGGGATTTATGAACCCTTTTTTTATGATTTTATGCAAGTTTTAATTCTGGATTATTTCTTCTACTTTTTTTATTAGGTTCATGAAACTGGCCGTTTTATGTGCTTTTATGTTATTGTTAATCGCATGAATCGGAAGTTCAGGTTAATAATTAGAACTGTGGTAGAATAGCATTTGTGGTATTAACATAAGAATATAGTTAATCTCTTAGGTAGCCATTATTGAGATTTGTGCTTAATGGTGTGTTCTAGAATTAATTGCGTAGGAATACAGTAATTAAATCTAGAGTATTAGAATTGTAATACACGCGGAAGCGGATTATGATTAATTTAGCATCTCAGGTTAATAATCACATAGGGGGAAGAATAAAATCCTAGGCTTGCTTTCATTGATTAAATCTTCCCGTTTAATTGCTTTCTTGCCTTTGTCTTTTTAATTTGCTAAATTTAGTTTAGTTAATTTAGTTTATTAATCATCCTCCGACAGTGTAGGGTGGACTTGATAATAATTGCTAGGCTTTAGCGTCTAGAATTAAATAATTAAATATTCTCTGTGGGATCGATATCCGGACTTAATTGTCCACTTTATTACTTGTACGATATGTGCACTTGTGTGTAGGTATTACACCCAACAGCCGTCTCAATTTAGAGACTTTGTTCTTCCCAGGTAAATATTCGGACGGCCGTCCGAATTCAAGTGTATTTCTCGGACGGCCGTCTGGGCTCTTGTTCTTCAGATTTTTGACTTCTTCACTTTTCGCCCATATTGTCTCCTAAATTGGAGTTTTGATCCTCTATTTATCCAATTCTTCAATTTGTACCTAAACAACAATAAGTCAACACTTTAAGCACCAATTATCAATAAAATACATCAAAAGCTCTAATTAAAAGATATGATTAAGTGTAAAAATATACATTTAACAAAATAATATCCCGTGCATACCACACGGAAAAAAATTCTAGTTATAATATTATTGTGGTTGATAGTCATATTACTCTCCACCTCTATAATATTACTCTAGAAGCTTATAAGATGTATTATCGAAGTTTAACCAAACGGGCTCTTAATCATCGCACCACTCAATCTTGAAGCTTTGTCTAAACTTTTTACTAAAATTATTTAATCGGTACATTATTCCAACCCCAACAATACTAGAACTCTACTTGCCATAACATTTATGACTTATTAAGTATTAAATCACTCACTAAAATTTAATTGTCTTCCATACTATATGCTTCATATTAATTCAAGAAACGAAACTTCAAAACTAAACCATGTGAGGAAGTAAAGAGAAAAAGGAGAATTGGAAAAAAGAAAAGAAGGAAAAGAAAGAGAAATTGTATGTGTAAGAAATTTGAAAATTGAGGGGTTCAATTTTGGCAGTTATAAGTAATACAAAATTTAAAAGAAGAAACAAAAGAAAAGCATAAAGGAAAGCACAAGAAACCAAGACTCTCATTTTCTGGTACATAGATAGAAGAGCATAACTATTCTAAAGTTGAGTTTAACATATATATATAAAGCAATAAAATGATTGGTATTTTTTTAGGGAAAAATATATAAAATATATATATATATATTCTTTCTTTCTTTTTTTTTTTTTTTTTTTTTTTTTTGTTTTCTTTTCTTTTAGAGGTAACCCCAACATACAACTTTATCTTGCTTTGTTGAAACTGTAGCAGCAACCTTAACTTTGGCTGGCTTGTGTCTCAATTCTTGCAAACAACTAAATATATCTTGTTTGTACATTCTTTAATTACCCTTTTTTTATTGGGACAAATTTAAGAACTTTATACTTGCTACAGTTTTTGTTCTTGTCAGTCATTGTCTATAATCTTATATAAGTTCAATTAGTTATTTAGTTTGTAGTTATTTAAATTCATTTTTTCTGCTAATTCAAGAACTAATATCTAGTGCATTTTGATCGAATACGATTGTTCATGTACACGTCCGTACATTGCCTTCCGTAGCTAATTTTTTTAGCCCAAAGCGAGTAATAAATCGAGGCCCTTTTTTTCGTCCTAGTACACAACATAAAAAGATTATAAATAACATATCGACTAAATCATCGCTTTCATATCCTCTACTTGAAGTTGATACAAATAGTACGTATCGTACGCATTCCTTACTAAAATTACCAAAATACCCCCGGCCCATATTCGGTGGGCCCTAAGCAGACGGCCACGCGTGTGTGTATTGCGACAAATCGTACGAATAATACGCATTCATTAGTAAGATTACCAAAATACCCCCGGCCCATATTCGGTGGGCCCCAAGTAGACGGCCACGCGTGTGTGTATTGCGACGAGACCGAAGGGGATTGGTCCAAAAGAGCAAAGATTCTTGGCTTCTGAAGAATGATGTTTTCCAAACTAACTTTTGGTTCAAACATATGACAGAGTCTTCTAAAACAGCCTTAATTTTAGCTTCTGCTTATGATTGGGGAAGTGAATCTAACTTGTCTACATATTCTTTCTTCTCTTACCCTTTTTTCTGCTTTATTGCTTTAATTTATCCCCACAAATTTGCAAACAAAAGAGATGAAATAAAACTAAACAAAAAAAATCAGCCATTAATACCTATTCTTCCATCATTGTCTTAAACACGAAAATGGGGTGCTTAAGTTATTACAGGATCGTCGTTCTTGCAGTCTTTTGTATCGGGTTTTTGTCTCTTCAACCGGAGAACGTTTCGGGCTCGAGAAATAGTTCTCGGTTCTTGAATGCCGCCTTTGTCGCTCAAGACTTGAATATCGCGCCTTCGCCTTCGAAAACTTTCAACCCCAACGAGTCGCAAAAGAGAAGAGTTCGTCGTGGATCCGACCCTATTCACAACAAGTGCTGATTCATACATACATATATATATATATATATATATATATTATAGGTTAGTGTTTTTTTTTTTTGCTTTGATTGTTTCATTTGTTGAAATCAGTACAATTTAGGTTCTTACATAGCACAAATACTGTTTACTTTAGAACAGAGAAAAATAGTTCTTGATCTTTCTGATATATAAAATCCTCAATGTGTGTGTGTGTGTGTTTTAAAAAAGTAGTTACATCCTTAACCGAAACTGCGATCTAGTGTACCGATTCTTACGGTGCACACTCAACCGAGTCGACACATTCTTTCTAGAAACCGTCTGCCAAATCATATCAACCGCGTCGTTTTCTCTCGACGGAAATTCGTACTCAAAGCGTCCGCTAATCTCCTTCAACTTCTCCCACATTCTACTCCACCTCTCGTTTTTTATCCCTCGTAGAATATTCAAAAGATGCCCTTTTCTGACGGCATCTTTCGCTCGGACAAACACGCAGAACTCCGAGTAGTCGAGGACGTCTTCGAACGGAAGCTCGATCTCGTCGCTGATTATTACGGGGACGCAGTGAGTGGCGATTGCATCGAAGAGCCGATTCGATGAAGGAGTGTCGCCTGCAATGTTTAGGCAGAATTTTGAGTGGGCCATACCTTTGCCCGCCTCTCGTACACCGGTCGATTGGTGGGCACTTCCGAATGTGAAATGCACGTCTTTTTCGTTTTTTAGAAGATAGTATAGTTCGTGACGGATTGCTCCACCCTATATATAAACAGTAAAACCTCGATAAATTAATAACCTCGCTTAAATAATAGTTTCTTCTGGTCCCGACTCGGTAAAAACCAACAAAATTATTAGTTCGATAATTTACTATTTCGCTAAATTATTAGAATTTTGCTAGTACCGACTGTATTAATTTATAGAGATTTTATGTATTCGTATTATACTCACCGAATAAGATCAATCAAATAGTAGTACTCCAAATTTCAAGAATCCATATAAACATTATCACAAACGAAGGGGGATAGATAATCACTTACATCTTTCCGATAAATTGCGCCTTGAAAATACGCCAAAATCGGCCGCTCATCGAACAAGGGCGAATTATCTGCTGCAATAGACCTCACCATATGCTTGTAGGGAGCAATCACATCCTTCTTAAGGTTAGCTATTCTACTCGAGTATCTCCCGAAATCCGATAGCACAAACATGCAAGAACCGAGTTTTCTCCTCGCAATTAACATGCTATTCGGGTGGTGTGCCACAATCAAATGATCTTTTCCCCTCGATCTTTTCCACTCTTTCGTTTTGACCAAAAAGTTAACCAATTCCTCCTGCAAAACTTTATCTCCACTACCTTTTCGATTTTGCCGGTGCTTCGAAAATCGGTTGTAACTCAAAGACGAGAAAAATGGCACGAAGATCACATCCGCTTCGCTCGAATTCTCTACTCTAATTGCAGTGCATGGCCTAACTATATCTTTATTACTTGATGATAAAAGATCAAGCGTTAGCCAATACTCTGTGCTATGCTGCAGATTTAGTCCTCCAGGGTAAGATGGTAATTTCACGCGGTCGGTTAAACTAGGCCACGTTTGGTTTGCAGGTGCATTCCATCCCAACAACCCGAAGTGGAATTTGGGCGGCAAGTCGTGCATATATACCTTAAGATGAGCTTTGGTTTTGTCACATTTTCTCGTTAAATGTTTTTCTTCCGGTTCGTCGACACTAATAGTATTATTTAAAGTTTCGTTTGGGAAAACGGGACTTTTGACAGGGCTTTCTTGTGCATCAACAATTATGGCATTCGGTATTTGATTATTAACTGATGCGTTACTTACCAAATTCGGTATTAATTGAAGAACCGATTTGGGAACGAACGAATTTTCTTCGAACTCGATAAGAGATAACGAAGAGGAGATTAATAGAAACATCGAAAAGGCTATTAGGAAAGAAAGAAGCCTTGAGGATAGTATGCTCTTTTCGGAAATCGAAAACATTCTCGAAAAATTTGATCTCAAAATTCAATGTGTTTTGTTTTTAAAAACCAAATGATTTATTTCTACTTCTGTAAAAAAGAAAAGAGAAATAAATGCTTAAGCCCACATGCAAAACCCAAGAATCTGGCCTTTTTTGGAAAGTTTCTTGAAATTGTATATTACAGTGTACTACTAACCCTAACAATTGTACTAAACCCACAACTCAAATATCCTTAAATTGACATAGAAAACACAATCAGTATGCCAGAATTGCAAAATCTCAACCTGCAGAGGTGGTGATAAATAGTTTAAATTAATTAAAAATAAATTAATTAAAAATAAAAAAAATTAAAGATTGGATTTTGATCAACAAGAAAAAAAACCCAGAATCACAAATGTAAACCCAAATATATATGATCAAGAAACAATGTTTTAAACGTGGGAGATCAAGAATTCATATTCAGAAGAAAAAGAAAAAGGTGGCAAGAAAACAAAAATACCTTAAGCTTCGTTTCTGATCGAAAATTAAGAATAATTGTAATGAGATTCTTCTACGCTGATGATTAAAAGAGTTATTTGATTTACACTTTATATATATATATATATATATATATATATATATATATATATATATATATATATATATATATATATATATATATATATATATATATATATATATATATATAGGGCTCGCGCGAGCATGCGCCCGCGCGCACTCACAAGCTTATTTTTTTTTTTTTTTTTCTTTATAAAAAAAAAAAAAAAAAAAAAATATATATTTTTTTTTTTTTTATCAAAATATCTATCTGTGTGTGTGTGTGTGTGTGTGGGTGTATCTACCTCTTTCTTTTTCTTTTTTTTTGTGTGTGTATGTGTGTGTATGGATGTATCTATCTCTCTCTC